CCCAGAAAGTCCTCAGCTTATCCCTTTCCAACTGAAAGAAGTTTCTCTCCTCTCGTTCCCTCTCGTTTTCTTCCTTCAGCCGAAGAGCGAACACTTCCAGCTGCTCCCTGCTCATCGACGACGTATCCACCCCATCGATAACAATCGCAGCTGATATAATACAATTCAATTACAAATAATTCTACAATTACAAATATTTCATTACTTTTTCCTTTTCCCTTGCCCTTTTTCGGAGGCTGCAAACAACACACATAATAACCAGTAATTAACGGACAATTCCACGTGGCATAATACAAACCATTTTGATGTTAAAATATACGCAGAATGTAAGACAATTAAAAGAACTGAAATAATTGATTAAACTTCATCGGGTTCCCATGGTGATTTCCACGTGTTGCATCATCTAATTGGTCGCTTATACAAGTCTCCAGCTACCTAGTAATTATGGTAATTAAAGTACACTACTTAAATGATGATTAATGCGAAGATTGAATAATACCTAATGGAAAAACAAATTTAATTATTAGAAGCGACATCTAGCGGAACGCGCCCATTACTATCAGCCTCTAATATTAAAGTATATGCAAGCAAATGCACACGCGCGTATACAAATTATCTAACTTGAATTTAATTTTAAGTCAAAATTTGCAGTTATTTGTATTATATTCATAGTTTTTAGTTAATTATAGTTGTAAAAGACATTTTGTAAAGAATTATTTAGAATTAATACTTGTAAATATTTAAATTGAAACTTTATTTTTTTTACTTTTTATATGTTGATTCACTGAAATATAAATGACTTCAGGTAAAAAGTAAATATAAATATGATTATGCAGAGAATAATGGTTTTGTAAGCGATTTATATAGATGCAAAACACCTCGAGATGTACGAAAATAACTTAAGATTCGCAAAACAAAAATTCCATCATTCGAAAATTTTCCTTTCTTTCGTTATTTCTTTTTTTGTTTGATTCACCATTATTTTCACAGACAATGGTGAAAATAACCACAATTACGATCTCAGCAATCGAGACGGGAGCTAATTATAATTACATTTTTTTTTGCGGATTTCTGTTGCACAACGCTAATGGAAACCGAAAAATAAATAAAATTTACAAATTAAAATCAACTGCGATGCTTCTGAGAGAACAAACAAGGTGATTCAATGACTGGAAAAACGTAACGATCCAATTCCTAAGAATCATGTGAAACATTTGAATAGTTGCGTAATGCATACGTGCACTTGATTCTTTTTTTTTTTTGCACAATTTCAAGTGCGTTTCGAATGAATAGAGGAGAAACAGAAGACAAACAAAATGTAAATGTAATTATAATAACAAAAAAATAATAACTACTAAATTGTATTTATTTTACAAAGACGATTTATTATTATTTGAATGCAAATTATTCATTTCCGTCTCGAACTTTTCGCGAACGTAAAAAGACTAATTGTTATCTGTTTATGGGTAAATATTAGCGTCAGTTGGGTCTTACGTAAAGCTGCTTCGAGCAAACAACCAATTACGGTGAGTTCCTTTACAAATTTTGCAAACTGCTTGTATCAATATTTATTGTTTTTTTTTGTCGGCTTTTCGCTGAAAATTGTAAATATTTGCTCGCCTCTGCTTCGGATTGATTAATTATTATCGGGTTTAGGAACAATCGGTTGGGAAACGCTAATTATTTTTGTTCGCACATCGAAATTAGTATAGAAAAATTTATAAAAATGTTAGATAACATCAAATATAACATTTATTGTTGGATAATATTTTAATTAATAGCTTGTTAGAAATGTAAACAAATTTACTAGTTCCAAATTCCAAAATTTCTGGATTTTTACTCGTATCGTGAAATAAATCGGGACTTCTCTTCTCATCGACACTCGTTATGCGAAATCCTCGTTAAGCGTTGCATCTGAACTCTTTAATTAACTACAAAACTAATTGTACGAATCGAAATACAGATGAATTTTCAAATTGGAAAGGCAAATAAAAATTAATAAACGAAATTGCAAATGATTAGCGCAATTTCGACAGAGCGAAAACAATGCAAACAAATTTGCGTGATTCATTAAACGGTCGTGGCTAATTAAATTACCGACTCTACAGAGAAACATCATTATAGGATCGGATCGAATGAAGAAACGACATAAAAGAAACAAGTAATTAAAAGAAGCGAAACTGTTTCACTTGAGCAACGAAATAAAAATTTTCGATTTCATGCTGTTATTGTATTATTAAGTTGCTGTTTTTTTCTTGTATTTCAATATTATTACTATTATTATAATTATTTGATGTAGCGGTGAGGTTGAACTTTTCAACCGGCGCGCGAATAACAAATAAATTAAAATGTGTTTGATGGCTTCTCAATGAGATAACATCGGCAAGATCCTTAAGGCATTACTCATTCACTCTAGCAAACACCGCTCTTTTCACGGCTGTGTGCATCCATTTTTTTATCCTATTCTTTACAAAAAAAAAGAAAATATCATCCTTCTCTCTTTACCAGATGAACACTTCAAATCGTTATTTCATTGCTCAATTACTTTATTGTTTAAGTGACATTTACAAGAACGAACACAAATTAATATTCAAGTAGTTTTATTTTATTATTATTTTTTTACTGTTGCCAGTCGTAAATTAATGTATCGACAATTTAACGTAATTGAAGAAACGTACGCTGATTTTTTCTTATGAATAACTTATGAATATTTCTACAATTTATTGTATTTACACAAAACAGATGCAAACTCACCCGGATACGAGTTTATAAGAAAGATCCTGAAAGAATCCATCGCAATAGAAAGTCTCAGCTAATTATAGAAATAAAAACCGCATCGTACAGATACGAAAATTATGTAATTGAAATATTTTCAATAACCTTTTCATAATTTGATTAAATTAATTAAGTTAATACTTTTAGATTTTGATTCAAAAAATGTGTATTCAAATATTGATGTGGTTGCATCCATTTGGCTGTAATTCGCTTTCAAAATTAAAAAAATGCTTGAACGAAAAAGCAGTGTCTTCACATATTTGTCATTTTCTCAGAAA